GCGACTCCAAGAATCCGTGCGGAGCGCCAAACATTTATGTTTGTGGCGTTTTTTCTTTCTCTCGATAGCAGCAGCCGCCGGAGAGCCGAATGTGATGACCCGGCAGCCCAGGAGCGGGGCAAAGCGCACGAGGATTGCGTAGGGGCAGGGCCTTGGCGTCCACACGACGACAACGACGACGGACGACGGCGGCGACGACGACGCCGACGGACGACGACGGACGACGACGGACGACGACGGCGACGACAACGACGACTGGCGACGACGACGACGATGTCGACGACGACGACGACGGCGACGATGACGTCCAGCCGAGGCCAGCGGCGTCGGCATGCCGGGCTTTCTTGTCCGATCGGCCCGTGGCAAGAGCTCTCAAACTCAGGGCGGCTGTCCTGGCCAGGATTAGGTCGGGCATGTCCTCCTACAGGCGGGTTTTATGAGAACAGTTTAGAAGAATCATGAAAATCAATGCCAAAGACAAGAAACATATTTTTCTGACTATTTTGTCACTACTCTTGAATATTCCTCCTGTAGAGGGACATGCCCGACTTAATGCTAGGATCGGGACCTGTACCGAAGTAGAGGGAGCCATGGGCTCTCGTGATCGGCAGGAAAGGCAAGCGCAGGTGGGGAGGGCATACGGTGTGTGGAGCAGCAGCCATGGGGATGGGCACGGAGGGGCTGGAAGAATGGGCGGGCGGGCGGGCGGGGAAGAGGGCGATTATCCGGAGGAGGAGGGCCGCCATCCGCCAAGATGCCGCCCCAGAGCGGCAATCTCACAGCTGGGCTGGACTGCAGCAGCCCGGAGCCGCGGGTTGCCCCCCTCGGCCGCCATGGCCCGAAGCGTGGCCGCGGGGCGAACCGTCGATCCTCATGAGGCCAATCCCTGGGCATTTTCGCAGGGTGGAGGGCTCAGGGTGAAATCCATCTGAGCTTTCGCACCTCGAAAATCAATCCATCTTGTGATTCACCTCTTGCAGATTCAAACGTCGAGGATCAACCGAAACGGCATTTCGGATTTCACCCTTTGCCCTCCACCCAAAGAAAATGCCCGAAATCCGGGGACCCGTGCTGCTGCTGCCGCCCGCGCGGCGGCGGGGGAAGCTCCATCGCCAAGGCTGGGCCCAGGGCCTCCTGGGGCCTCCTGCTCGGGTGTTGCTTGGAGTGGTCCTGGCCCAAGGTGTCCCCAACTCTGCGCGCCACTTCGGAACCCTCGGGGCCTCGTGAGGCTTGCTCTGGGGGCCATCTGGGCCTCCCCGGGAATCCTGGGGGCATCTTGGGCCAAAGACACCTTTGGCGACACCTGGCATGTGGCCTGGGCTGAGCTGGTGGGCGTAGCGGAGGCCCCCGAGGCGAGCAGCGAAAAGCAGCACATGCCCGGGAGGCCGCCCTGGCCGAGGGCCCGCAAAGGTTGAGCGCTCCGCTTTCGAAGCCCGTGCGGAGGGGAGGGCCGACGATGCTGGTCAGGCCTCGCCGTCGTCATGCAAGTCCGACGAACGCATCCACATCCATGCCCTCGCGGTCTAGATGCTGAGGCGCGTTTCCGTCGGTGCGTTCCGCGCGGGGGGGCATCCGCACGAAGCCGCCCTGTCTCCAGACCGCGATGTCGTGGATGCGGAGCTTTTTTCCGTCCACGAGCCCTCCTCCCCCTCCTCCTCCTCCTCCTCCTCCTCCTCCTCCTCCTCCTCCTTCTCCTCCTCCCCCTCCTCCTCCTCCCCCCCCTCCTCCTCCTCCTCATCCTCCTCCTGCCCCTGCTCCTCAAGATAATCATATGATCATTCTGACCCTGTTTGCGAGCAAGTCCTATCCGATCTGGCCTCTGCCCTGGGGCGCGAAGGGAAGATGCGGGGCACGGCGTGATCTGTGGAAGGGGCAGACATTGAGGGCGTCGCCTCTGCTGGAAGACCGACCAAGCATCCAGAGGTAATTCAGAGGAAGGGAGTCTAGAGGGCAAACCATTTGGCCTTATGATGATGAGGAGCAGGAGGTTGAGACGGATGATATGTGACAGACTGGTATGGAACAGCATGGTGCGATATGAAGCACTCCACCTGGCCACACCCGAGAGAGAGAGACAGAGAGAGAGAGAAGAGAACGAGAGAGAGAGAGAGAGAGAGAACGAGAGAGAGAGAGAGAGAGAGAGAAAAAAGAGAGAGAGAGAGAGAGGGCAGGGCGCAGAAGGTCGTAGCCTCAGAACATGTGGGTGCAGAAGCTGTGGTTGAAAGGATAGACAAACTAGCGCGTAACAACATGGATGAAATAGGGCACGAACTGGTACAAATATAGAGGCCTCCTAGATGGGGTCGGAGAAGATGGGGTCGGAGGATCGCGCCGCATTGCCGATACATCGGCGATGCATCGGCGATGCATCGGCGATGCACTGGCGATGCCTCGTCGACGTCCTCGATGCATCGGCGACGTTGACGTGAAGCTAATCGGGTCCCACGTCGAGCCGCATCGAAGATGCATCGGCGATACTGCGCGGTCCTCCGACCCCATCTTCTCAGACCCCATCTAGGAGCCTAAAGACAAATAGAAAACATGGGTGAAGCAGTGCACGACCCGGGGCAACTGGAAGATGAGGAAGGCGAGGTTCGGGATCGTGCCTGTGGTCGGTGTTGCCTGCTGGTGGTCAGTGATGTTTGCGCGTGTGTGTGTGTGTGTGTGTGTGTGTGTGTGTGTGTGTGTGTGTGTGTGCGTGTTGTGTGTGTATGTGTGCTGTGATCGGTGTTCGGTGTTTTGTGCCCGTGGTCGGTGGCGGTCTGTCATGGTCGATGCGTTTGGCCGATGGTGTTCAATGGTGCTTGGTGTTGGTGGTGCTGCTGGTCGGTGGTGGTCGGTGTTGGTGATCAGGGCTGAATCGGTGCTGTCGGTGTTTTGCTGCTGCTGTCGGTGTTGGTGGTTGTGTGGGTGGACGAAGGGGAGGAGGAGTAAGATGAGGAGAAGAGCCTTTCTTCCGCCAGAAAGACTTGATCGCCCGCAGTCCGCGAAGGCAGTCTTGGCGCGGGGACGCCGCGTGTAGACTAGACTATCGTGCGATCGGGCCTCATTGGCCGAAGCCTCCAATTCAAGACTGCCAGACGGTGGAGAGTTACGGCAAGTTCGAGTCGTGGCGACCACGGCGTTGGCTTCTGACACCGCGTGGATCGTTCAGCCTATAGCGATCGCGGCTTTGCGATAGCGGGGATCGTTCGATATCGGCCGATTCTGGGCCGCTGGCGGCGTTCAACCTTGAACACCTGCGCTGGGGTCGCCGCCGCGTCGGCACGACGCGAACCTGCCGCATGGAGATAGACGCCGAGGAACAAAAACGCATGCGTGGCGCTTCAGAAAGACCCTGGCCTTCGAAATATGGATGGGCTTGACGCCTCCTCCTACGCGGAAGGCCCGCGGAAGTAAAACGTCGGCGTCTCCGCCTGCGGACACACACACACATTGCGCCCTCAAAGTGTACTATGCTTTTTGGCTCAAGTTTCTGCAGCGGGCTAGATGGCTTCATGCGTAGAGGGATGACATTGAACAAAGAAGTAGCAATAGAGGGAATGCCCTAGACGGAGTTGATTCTTGATTTGGTGAGCTCCGATGTCGTTTGCTATCTCTTCTTCAGCGCGTGAGAGGTGGGAGGCAGTCGCACAGACGCGGTGCTTGCTGCTGCTGTAGAGCCCGAGACATCCAGAAGTCCCCTTTCTTCCTCCGCCTCTCTTGCCCCATATGTGCCCCCTCCCGCCTCTTCCATGGGTCTGGAAGGCCCAGCCCGAGGAGCCGACAATCTGGACATGGCAGGAGCGAAGACAGGCAAGATAGGGGGGCGGAGGCAGCAGCCGAGCTTTGCAGTGCAAGATTGGCAGCTCGCGTTGGAGCCCATCTGCTAATTCCTGCGGGGGACACTGCCCGCAAATTCAGAAATAGTTCGATCGCTGGGCAGCAGCTCCGGTAAACATGACTGTGACCTGCGCGCTGGCCCAAATTCAAAGCCGAAGGCGGGTGCAGCGTCCCTCGGGAGCGCGGCCCTGATGCCCCATGCGGCCCTACTACGAAGTATGGCGCCAATAAATCACTATTGACTATTGGCCCATTCGTCGGTGCACTGACGGCAGAGCGCGATACGCCGGGACATTTCACAGCGCCAAGCTCGCGCTGAATCTGCGAAATTCGCTTCTTGCTGCCCTGACCTCCAACCCTGATTCTGCTGATCTGCTCCCGAGTCCTGCACAAGATGCTCCGATACCATCCCCGAAGACCAACGCAGATGCAGGAAGGTAGCCTCCCAATCAACAGCGCAGGATGATCAGGAGGAGGCTGAGGAGGGGCGATGCCCCCCACGCCCCACCTGTGCCAGCAGTGGTTGTGATCAAACATCGCGACGAGTTGAGCAAACCTCGTGAGATGGGGGAACGAAACGATATTGATACCGCTCCTCCCCGGAACTCTCCCCGGGGTGCGCTCTGACTAAGACTCCGAGGGCAGACGAAGCCGAACACGGCGAAAGCCAAGGAAGCTGCTTCTTAGAAGGCGCCGCCCTACACCCATCGATGAGACCCGCGCCGTCTTAAGAGCATGGGTGCTTCCAAGAAGCCTTCCCTCCTCCCCCTCCCCCTCTCTGCGCGTGGCCGACCTTTCTTCTCTGACGAGCTCTGCCCACGCTCGCTCGAATTTGGTCCAGGAGAGCACGGCCAGGAGAGCCCAGAATCGAATCGATAAGTCGGATCGGCGCTCGAAATGAATCGAATCGGCGGAAATCGGCAGCCGAGTCGGAAGAAGTCGAATCGGCGCAAAATCGGTACATTGGTAGGCCTCCATGGATAAACCGGAATCCAGATCGGAATTCGAAGCCGAAGCGAATCGGAATCGGAAGCCATCAACATCGGATCAGAGTCGAAGCGGAGGAACCGAAGCGAGCCCTGCACGACCTGGGAATCACGAGGCCAAGCGGCTCCCTCGCCCGGCGCGGAGGTGAGCCGCTCTCGCCCGGGCTGCTGGCGCGGGGGCCAGGCTCGCGC